AAAAGGGCGTTTTTAAACTCGGGTGAAGCTTTCAATCTCTCATTTCCTTTGCTTTATCCTTTCTGGAACGGGCATAGAAGTCGGAGGTAGTCTTGCCTGTTGGTCTCTCGCCGACAGCCAACACGCCGCGGTGCTACAGCGCTCCTCGGGAAAAGACCACAGTGACGACGTCATTAGTCCGGATCTACACCAGATGAGCGGGGAGGACAATAGCGCTTTCTCCGGAGAAAACGTTTTTAAGGTCAACAATTATTTGCCAAGTTTGAATGGGAAGTCAGACAGCTTCACGACTAGTGTAACAGAAACATACATCAGATCTTGAACATGCAATTTTGAAAGAATTTGTATTTGTTTTTCTTTCTTGTATTATCACAGTCAGATGAATTCTCTTTGAGCGTAGAAAAATGAACAACGGTTATTTTGGGGAATTCTAACCACCGTCATCGTCATTGCATTTTTAGGCGCTCCGTTAGCTCAGTTGGTATCATGTTGGACTACAAAGCGGACATCCTTGGTTTAAATACCTAAAAGGGTACTTATAAACTCAACCCATATGGCTTGGGTCTGTGGGAGATGGGCTTTAGATTGGGAGGTTCCACTTCTTAAAGACCCTGACTTTGTTGAAAGTGGCGTCTAACCAAATCACTTACTTTTCACAACGCAAGTAAGGGTGGGTTCCATACAGGTCAACTATGATGAGGTCATTGGTCCGGGGCTTCACCAGGTGAGCGGGGAGGACAACCACACGTTCTCCGGAGAAAACGTTTGTACCGTCAAAAACTACTTGACGAGTTTAAACGGGAAGATAGAGAGTTTCAAGACTTATGGAAAGGGATCAGACATTAGATCTTGACTATGCAGTCACGAAAGTTTTGCTTTTTTGCTGTTGGTCGTTTGTGTTGTTGTTTTTTGCGCACATTGATTACATTTAAATAAATTAAATTGTCTTTGAGTGCAGACTAAGAGTGAAGGTGCCTTTTGAGGATTTAAACCAGCGTTATCCCCATCATATTTTTGTCTAATGCCAACTAATCAACAGTGGAGCTCCCTCCTAATAAGCGTGGTCATCAAATCATAAATCACAAAAAACGCATGATAAATGTTCGACTATTGCACCTTCTTTTCAAATTTTCAAATGCAAGGGGTTTAGCGTCCCCATCCGTACAATTTAGATCACATAGGTGGCGGACTTACCCGGCCCTGTCTGTCAGGACTAACCCAGGCTGAAAGGGATGCAACGTCCCAGCAGAAAGATTAAAATTCTCTATATACGGTAATTGAGCACGCGTCTTCTGCGTGCATCAACAAAGAGTCTAACCATTAATGAATATGTTTACACGATAATCATTGTCAATTACGTCATTATTTTCTGAGGCAGAATATGAACATCACATTCAAATGAACGTGAGAGGAAGCGTCTTCAATTCAGGAAGTTAAAGAAAACAGTCCCAAAACAAAAAACAAACAGACATACAAACAAACAGTCAAAGTAAAATAGAAACAAGTTAAACAAACAATAGTGTTCGAAGATCGTCTGGATTTCCACGAGATACCTTCAAAGTGACACAGAAAAGTGAAAGGGTTCTACGGAAGTGTATTACTTCATTCCCAGAAAGTTGATCTCGCTTCCGCCTGAGACTGTCTTCACCGGCGTTCTAACAATCCCCTCAGCCTCAGCTCACTCGGCTCTGAACTACCAACACGAGCCTTTCATCCTATGTAAGTTTCTGAAAAAGATTATTCTTAAAACCTGCAAGTGAAAAGTTAAAGCACTTATGTATTATTGCACTCTAATACAGTTTAGAACATATTGTTCAGACTTGGTGGATTCGGGCAAATAAGTGACACTCGACCCATGGAATTCTCTTATAAGGACTCTACTGTCCCCGTCGTTTTAAGCAAGAAAAATTATGAAATTATGCAAACTAAGCCCAAAAATGTGATATTATGCGATTCTATTAATTTGAACAAAGAATGATAAAGGAAAATAATCAGAAAGTATGCAGAAAATGATCAAATTTTGCTAAATTATGCGGGTGCATAAAACCACGGGGACGGAACATAACAATCTGTTGTCTGTTATTTTTCTCCCTCTCTGTTATTTGCAAAACCAAAACGATTCACCCGAAAATATCCCTAGATGCTTATATAAGATGCTTTGATTTTGTACTTTTATTTTCAATCATACGTAATTAAATTCGATCTCAAAGGGACGGGTCATGTTTTGCTGTGCTGAACAGTGCCCCTTTCAAAAATGCTGCATTTGCTCAATATGGACATAAAAATACCACTGGATAGTGAATTTGATTCCGGGAATAAGCATCTGAGCACTTTTCTTGAGGTTTTTTTAAGCAAGGAAATGACAGTAAGAGAGTAGAATTATAGAAAAAAAGTTAATCTTAGCTAAATGCAATCCGGGAAATCACACACACACACACACGCGC